AAAGCTATGTCCCATCCATGATATTCAGGAAGTGGGAAAAAAGCACTGACACAAGAGAGTTTAGGAACTTTAATGCTTAGGCTGAAAAATCACAGGCTGAGTTTTTCATTGTTATTGGTCCATCTCACCCAGACACACCTGAAACTCCCCCAGCAGTCTCCAGAGTGAAGAGGGGCTTCCTTTGTAGTGCAGTGGCTCTCATCCCAGAGGCCGGAAAGCAAGAGTATGTAGTGAGCACCTTGTGCTGGGCCTTTGCAAGGCCTTGAAAGTGTGAACTCAGTTCATCCCCACAAGAACCACATGAAAGAGGCATCCCCATTTTATAGACAAAGATGCTGTGACAGAGAGACTAATCATTTCGTTCATGGGCCAGGCAGTGTAGCTCAACGGACTAAGCACTTGCTTAGGTAAGTGCAGGGGCCAGGGTTTGATCCCTGGCACTACATGCCACACTGCCACCCCCCTCACCCCAGGCGTGCTGAGCCAAAAATGGAGTCTGGGCATGGTGGCACAGGCCTGTAATCCCAGCACTAGAGAGGCAGAAATTAGGAGGATCACTAGAGTCTGAGCTATGTAGCAAGATCCTACATTAAGAGAGAGAGAGAGAGAGAGAGAGAGAGAGAGAGAGAGAGAGAGAGAAACCTTAAAAGAGTTCACGGGCCATGGAGATAGCTCAGCAGCATTAAGTGCCTGCCTGGCAAGCATGAGGTCTGAGTTCAATCCCCAATACAAAAAACCCAAAAAAACCTCATAAAAAGAAAAATAAAATACAAAAAGTACAATCAAGTCCACAATAGTCCCAAAGCTATGTTGAAAATTCAACTCTTGGGGGCTGGGGAGATGGCTCTGTAGAATAAGCGCTTGCCTGGAAGCGCAAGGGCCTGAGTTCAATCTCCGTTTCCACCAAAAAAAAAGAAAAAAAGAAAATTCAAGTCTTCTGACTTTTCCTACTCTACCACACTGAATTTTGTTACAGCTTCCGCCTCCTACAGGAAGTTCATTATTAACCTCATGTCCCATGCTCTGCCCTGGTCCTTGTGAGAAGGGTCAGCTGGCACAAGGATGAGCAGGAATCCCAGAGAGTTAGCCTCTGGTCAGGAAGACAGTAAAGGGAGGAGGCTGTGTAAGAAGGCTGGAGAAGTGCACACTGAACCCCATTAATATGTGCACTTAATAAAGGCCAATAAAAATGTAAAATAAAAAACTCTGCTCTGAAACAGGAAACGTGACCTCAGAAGTGTCCATGAGGACATTCTCAGCTGCACAGACACTTGCAAGGACATAATGAGGTAGAGCAGCCTGCAAAAAGCCCACCTGTGCTGATTCTCTGTGGAGTCAGACCCCATGACAGGAAAGGGCCAGTGCTCAAAGAAGCTGCAGGGAGCAGCGGGGCCAATGGAAGCAGTGTCACTACTCACCCAGGCAATCAGACACTGCCTTGGGTCAGGGCAAAGGATGCATCAACAAAGAACATGCCTGCTGGCATCAGAGAGCCCAGGAAGATCCCGCTGGTCCACTGCAGGAGATGTGCAGTCATCCGCTCCTGCAAGGGTGACCTGGGGCTCTCGAATGTGTGCTATACCAAGTCCGCAGCTTTCACTTTGTCAGCAGAGGCAGAAGCCCCAACTCACTAAGTCTTTCTTTGGCCACTGCCTCCCAGCCCTTGTTGGCCTGTGGGTTTCGGGGAGAGGGATGCAAAAGCCCCTCCACCTGGACCTCTGGCGTCAGACCAGCCAGAGCCCGTCGCGCTCGCTGCTCTGCCAGTCGCCCCACTCCCACCACTAGCCGCACCCCCAGCAGCTGCACCTGCCGGCAGAGGGCTGCATCACAGATCCCCAGAAGCTGTTCTCGCTGCTTAGCAGGCAGCTCAGCAGGGGTGAGGTTTCGTCCGCTGGGTGCCAGGAAGAGCAGAGGACAAAGATTGTGGACAAAGCAGTGACGGAAGAAGACCTCTGGCTGTCCACAGAGGTTCTGGAAAAAGCCCCAGAATCGGGCACCGCTCACCTCCGACTGTGGGCACTCCAGTCCCAGCACTGGTCGCTTTGGGTGCTCTTGGGCAGGGGTCAGCACAGGTCCCCCAACGCCCAGCCAGTCTCGGACTGCACTTACTTCCCCAAAGGGCACCTGTGGGGAAAGAGACAGGACCTGACACTTGAACTCTGGGCCAACTGTCCCCGTGCCATGAGGGTGAAAGGTGAGCTGCCCCACCCTCACCATACACAAAAGTCTGAGACAGACTCCTGGGCCTGTGGTTTGGACTTCTCCATATTTCTTTAGCTTCTTCATTGTGCTCTGTGGTCCAGAAGAATCTATTTGTTTGCCTCCACCCTCATGTTTTAGGACCAAGTACAGGGAGTATACTGGGTCATCTGGCCCTACACAGGCCATGATGGTTAGTAATGGGAACCATGGCCTGAGATAGACTGACAGCCAGGATTAAAGGAAGTGTGAAGATAGGGCTGACCACCACTCTCTAGGTGCCCTCCCAGCCCCAAGCCTCAGGTTGTCATTTCCATCGATCATCATTGATCACCTTTCATCACCCAGTTGGGGTCAATAAAAGCGATTGAGCCTCCTGCCCTGAGGCATCTTCCCCTCCCCCACCTGCCAAGCAACCCCAAGAGGGGCAGTCACTCATCCTGAGCTCCAAAAGGACAGCAAGCAGGCCTTGGGGCCTGGCTCTGCTTGGAACCTCTCCAGCTGATAAACAGAACCCAGATTGCCAGAATGCCCCAAATATCTCCCTGCCAACCAATCTTTCCTGAGGACCCAACAGCCCTAGTCTCTTTCCCGACCCCAGCAATACTCCAGGGACACGGGAGATCTGACAAGGTAAGAAAAAGATGGGGGATGGCGGAAGGAAGAGCTCTCAGAGGCAATTAGCACAGAGCTCAGAAGGGAAACAAAACTACCATTAATGTGCTTGGTTAACAACAGGCAGAAAGGCCCAGAGTGTCTGAGACCACAGGAGCCAGGGTGTATCAGGAGGGGCTGGGGAAGGGGTACACATGTCCACAGTCATGCACATATTCCTCCTCCCCAGCCTAGCACCCTCCCAGATGCCTCCCACTCCACCCACCGGGGGAAGCCAGGCCCTTTACCCCAGTCTGGGCCATGCCAAAAGGTCCTGGGTTCATGCCTAGGAAAAGCACTTCCTTGGGACCCTGGCAGTAACGAGTCACGTAGCTTCGATGTGGCTCCCACGCATACTCCACAGGATTGTAGATGAGGCCCACAGGCTCTGAAAACTGCAGCTGGCTCAGCTCCATGTTGAGCCGAAGCTCTTCCTCTAGGAAGCCCTCAGCCAAGTTTCGAGCGCAGGGCTGGGCTTCCACCAGAGTACCTTCAGGCTCAGGAAGGGCCCCCACTGGAAAAGCTTGAGGCACAGCCATGCCCCATCACCTGGAAAAGAGGAAGACAGAGGCCCCACCAGCACTTAGCCCAAAGTGGGAGGGATTCATGCTGGCCAGGGCCTCTACTACCATTTTGTGGGAGACCCTAGGAGACCATGCTAGTCATCCACCAACTGCTGTCCGCCAGGTAGTACTAAGCTCAAACTCAGTTCTAAGAAGTGAAGCCCCCAACCCACTTCTAGAATTCTTCTTCTTCACATCCACCTGGTGAGACTAAGTCAAAGCCAACCAACCACCCTCCACTCCAAACTCCTCTCTGTCAGGGCTGAGTCGTGAGTTTCCAGATTGTCCTGGGAAATGAGCACACACTAGGTTTTCAGTGTGCACTTGCTGCTGGCATCCTTTCTACAGCTCATTCCTAACGGATCAGATCCAACCAGGATGGGCTGTGTCCTGGAAACCACTGAGCTGACGAATGAGATGCAGGTGCACAGCCAAAGCCCAGAGACCTGAGAGGGCTAATTACAAGAGATTCCAGGTGGTACGCAATTGCTCTACACTAGGCACACTTCATTGATCTTCCTAACAACCCCATGAGATGGGTGTTACTGCTCCCATGTTCGAAGTGAGGAGACTGAGGCTTAGCAAAATCAAGCAACTTGCCCAGGGGCGGGCAGTTAGCAAATACCGAAGCTGCGATTTGAACCTGCACTATCTGACTCAAGGTGATGCTCTTAAGCACCCACACAGTCTTGCCCTCGATGGTCTGGTCAGCCACCCTAATAATTCTACAGCTTCCGCTGCCCCCAGCCTCAACCCAACTTCTTCCCCACATTGAAGAATCCTCAGTGGTAAGCAGGATTACCTGACCCAGAAGAGACTTTTGCAGGCTATGCAACCATGGCCAGAGCCTCAGGTCTCTTCACCCAAATAAGAATAATTCCTATTACATAATACTGATATAAGGATGGAAGGAGGTGATATGCATAAGTGAGGGGAGGAAGGAAAGAAGAGGAGAGAAGAGAGGAAGAGAGACCTGACAGCAAGCCTTGTAATAAACTGCAATCCCTTCCCAGCCCTCCCAAGTAAACCGAGTTCCAACTTGATGCTCTCAAAATGCCCAGCTTGCCTCAAGTGCCACAACTGTGCACGTGCTATTTCTACAAACCCAACAAAATCTACTTCTTAAGACAAAGGCCATCACCCAGTAAACATCTAGTCAACAGGACAGTGGCTCGCCTACATCTCTATACATTCAGATCATATCCTTCCTTTACAATGCAGCACAACTGCTTCTGTTAAAGCTCTCCCTCCTGAGACGACTGCAGTATTTGCTACCCATTCCCAACCCCCCCCCAAGATTAGCTGGGAGGCCTGGATATCTCTATTTTAAACATGGTGATTATGATGGCTACTGAATGCTGAGAGCCACTGCATGTCACCATGGTTAGTGGCTTCATCATGAATTGGTACCTTGCCCTCCCCAACTAGGGCAGATCAGGGGCCAAGCTCAATTCAGTTTCCATCCATAACTCCCAGGTTTTAGCTTTTGTTAGATACTCCACAAACACCAACTCAGGTCTAGCCACCCATACTTTATCAGTAAATCTTAAACGCAAGTACTGTCCACCAAGGAATCATTCTCTTTTCAGTGCTGGGGCTCAAAGCCAAAGCTATGAGCCATGTTCTATCACTGAACTACACTCCCACCCCCAAGGGACTCCTCGCCATGTCTACATCCTGAGTTCACTAAAGGCTCAGCTGCTTGCTTTCCAAGACTTGCTGGACTCTGTGTTTTATCACTTCTTGGCCTCACATAGGGCAGGGACCACTGTTCTTCTCAGCCTCAGGCCAAGTCAAGAGTGACTGCTTGCCCCAAATGAGGTAGTTGTGCCTAGATTGACACAACAGTCAGATGTCAAGGGCCCGGGCCTGTAATCCCAGCTAGGTAAGGGCCTGAGGCAAGAAGATCATAAGGTCAAGACACCCTGGGCAAATCCACATGACTATCTTTTAAAAAAAAAAAAAAAAAAATATATATATATATATATATATATATATATTTGAGCTAGAGCTGAGGTAGAACATACCCCTGAGTTTGCTCCCCAGTAATTAAAAAAAAACACTGATACAATAGTTTTGGGTGTTAGGCAGGACCCTATCTATCACTGTACACTACAAGAAGTAAAAGGAAGGAAAAAAAAAACAAGTTTAGGGCTGGGGAGATAGATCACTAGAATAAGCACTTGCCTGGCAAGCGCAAGGTCCTGAGTTCAATCCCCAGTACCTAAAAAAAAAGCTTCACTTAGGAAGTCCTTCTAATCTCTGACATCTTTAATTGATCTGTCCAGGTAGGTACCCAAGACCAAATGAGTTTATACAAAAACTAAAAAGGAAGGTGTGGTGAACTCAAGCATCTCCCCCTGTTCTGCTGTACAATGGGTCTACTACTCTTTGCATTTAGAGACCTGAGCTAGAAAAGGCAACATGGCAGGCATGGTGGTACTTGCCTGTGATCCCAGCATTCAGGAGGCTGAGGCAGGAGATCAGGTGAATATGAGACCAACCTGGCTACACAGTGAGTTCAGGGCCAACCTGGGCTATGTAGCAAGACCTTGTATCAAAAAACCCAAAAACACAAGCAAAGAAACAAAAATCTTTGGGCAAGAATAGGGGTGCAGAAAAGCGACAAGACCTTATTTTCACTATGCCAGAGTTCCAAAGCCTGATCTGGATAGCAAGAACCACAAACTAAAAGCCAACTGATTTAAACTCTAGCCCTGGTTCATCTCTACAAAGATTGTATTGTTCTGAATGGTGTCTTACCAAATTGTAACTCTGCTACCTCCGCTAGGATTACCAGGTTATACCACCATGCTCAGGAAGATTCGCTTACATGTTAACTCTCTACTCGAAAAATCCCATATGCCATCAACCCACCACCAACTGTTAGCTTGTTTTATTTATTCTTTCACTATTTGAGTCTTTTTTTAAATTTGTGTGTGTGTGTGTGTGTGTGTGTGTGGCCAGCTCAGCCCACCTGGGGGCGGGGCTGACTGGCATGTGGTGCTGGGGGATTGAACCGTGGTCCCTGTGCCTTGCCAAGCCTGTTCCAAGTAGGTGCTTTAGACCACTGAGCCATCTCACCAGCCCTTGAGTCTTTTATGTGATAAGCACTGTGGCACTCTCTTCGTGGGGAAGAAATTAAAAATCAAAAAATATATGTATAGCTCATACTTCTACTACCGTGAGAGGCCAGATGAGCAAATAACTGTAATTCAATAGACCCTGAGCTTTGATAACCAGAACAACACTACAGGTGACCAAGGGAGGGTCTAGGAAGTTGTGCTTAAAATTCGCCACGAGCCAGAAGCTTGAAAAAATTAGATGCCCTGGGAAACTGGAGGTCAGATTTGATCGGATGCACAGGCAGTGGAAGCGGAACAAAACTAGAATTTGACACCAAACTTTTCTGACATTGCCAGTCGAAGTTTATTACAGACCGAATATACTGTCCACTCCCCTGTCCCTTGGAGGCACCCGAGGCACTCACATGGAGAATAAGCAAATCCTTCAACAAAATCAAAAACGGAGCATAGGCTCAAAACGATTCTTCCGCCCTTCCTCTGAGCCCGAGGGGCCGAGGCCAAGCACCCTGCAAAATTCCGCCCGCGCACGCGGGCTCCGCGCGACGGGAAGGCTTCCTTCAATGCACACGCCGCCCGGCATCCAGGGCTCGCCTCGCCCTGCCCTGGGGCTACCTCGAGGGCCCCACAACACTGGCCCTCTGACCACGCTCTCGGCTCGGCCCCAAGCGCCCTGGCAGCCCCCCGCTGGCCCCAGCGCCCTCCATTCCCGGCTTCCCGCTCCCTCACCTGGTCTAGCTCCCCATCCAGTTTCCAGTTCCTTTTCCCTACGCCAGGCGTGAAGCACAGTGGGAGTCGTAGTCCACAGAATTTTGGGAAGGAGATTGGTGTAGCCGCTACCACTTCCGCCGGATACGCCCAAATCCCCGGAAAATGCGCAGATGAGCACCCCCAAGTGGCTCTGGGAGTTGTAGTTTATTCTTACCATCAGCACTAAATCTAGTTGGGGTGGTGACGCAAGAGTGTTATACCCGCACTCAGGAGACCGAAAAACAGCTAAATCTAAAAGTCTTGAGAAATGAGAGAACCTAATCCCAAAGTTTATTCCCAACTGTCAAGAAGGTCCAACCATCCCAAATCTCTCACACGCCTGACAAGGGCTAAAATCCATCTCCACCTGCCTGGCTAGCCCAGGTACAAGAGACTATATGCCTTTGCAACCCCTTAGGGTCCATTACTGCAAGCAGAACTTCAGCGAAGGTGTTTCTGGCATCTCCTAGCAACTCGAGCAGTGAGCACCACCCCTTGCTGTCCAAGCCCTTCACAGCTTCACTGTTTTGATTTTTCTCCCTCTTCTGCCTTGCTATCTGCCCAGCCTCATAGCCAATATTAGTCAGAGTTCTTTAGAGAAACAGAACCAATTGAATATCTATTTATCTTCCTCCATGAGAGATTTATCATGTGACTTGCCCACAGGATTATGAGGACCAAAGTCCTGTGATCTGCTGATCTACTGTTTGGAAGCTACAGAATCAGGAAAACCCATAATGCAGTCTGAGACTGAAAGTGAATTGCAAACCAGGCATGATGGCACACGCCTGTAATCCCAGCACTAGGGAGGCTGAGACAGGAGGATCACTACCAGTCTGAACTGGGTAGCGAAACCCTGTATCAACAAAAAATAAATAAATGAAAATGGATTGCAGGGAAGCTTAATGAGGCCCAGAGCTTGAAGGCCTGAGAACCAAGACCTTTAGACAGATCTCCAAAGAAGTCAAAGGATAGGAGAAAATAGATGTCCCAGCATAAAGAGAATTTACCTATGCTATACTTTGTTGTTCTATTGGGCACTGAAGCGATTGGGTAACCCTGACTCAGTCTACCAATTCAAATACTAGTTTCTTTTGGAGACACCTTCACAGACACACCTAGAGGCAAAAAACAACCACAGTATCTGGGTGGCCTTTAATGCACCTAAGTGGGCACTTAAAATTAACTATCACGGTGCTGGGGAGATAGCTCAGTGGTCTAAGCGCCTGCCTGGCAAGTGCAAGGACCCAGGCTCGATCCCTGGTACTACGTGCCGGGCTGGCCCTGGACCCCTGTGCATGCTGCATCAGCCATCAAAACTGGGCACAGTGGTGCACACTTGTAATCCCAAGTCTGAACTGTGTAGCAAGACCCTGTACCAAATAAATAAATAAATAAGATTTTTTAAAATGAGCTATCATATCTCCCCCACTCTTCTAAATCCTCTCTCAAATATTCTTCCCAAGAAGCCTTCTCTGATCAGTAGTAATCCAGTGACTGCACCTAATAGCCCACTCACCCCTATCCAAGAACCAACACATAAAACTTCACTTCCTAGGCTGTTCTTGTCCTCTGGATCTTTTTCTGTCTTCTGACTACAGGATTTTCAATAGAGTAGAAATCCCCTAAGCTAGTTGTCTTCTGGGTCCCTCCCACTCCCACCGCTGCACACAGCCGGAGCACAGCCGGGACTCTCAACAAGGCAAGGGGTATCCCCATATGTGGTAGAGAAGGATACTACTAAACCTAAGAGCAGAGAGAAGAGAGAACAAAGATGCTACTCTTTCTCAAGCCTCCTCTGTTCTCCTATTAACAGACAAACTTAGTAGATGCAGCAGGAGCTTCAGGGAGCCTTGAGCAGTGACCCTTCTGACACCAAGGTGAGAAACCCTTCCCACCCTTGCAAGACTTCAGAAACTGAATGAATCATCTACCTCATGAAGCCCATTATTTCCTGAGCTTTAATTTGTACCAGATTCTCCTCCTTTCTGTGTCTTTGTCTCTCCCCATCTATTTTAGTTTACCTCATCTCTTCTATATTTTTTCTCGCCATATATTTGTGCCTCTATCTCCCGCAGTGTATGTCTGCTTCTTTCTCTAATATGACTAAAATAAAAATGATTTTTTAGAACTAACTCTTCTATCTCCTCTCTGTCCATGATTCTTAGCATGTATGTCTCTAAACAAAAACAAAGAGAAAGGACTTTACTGGGGTATCATCTCATTTTTAAAGACTCTTCCTATTTCGCCAGGCACGGTGGAATTTACCTGTGATCTCAGCACTTTTCTGAGGCGAAAAAATTATGAATTGAAAATCTGAGCTACACGCAAGATTCTATCTCAAATTTTTTTTACTAAGATCTCAACCTTTTTACTAATCCAAACCCTTTGCCAATTGCTTGCCCAACACTCCCAGTTTATCACCTTGGCAGCCCCTCTACACCCCAAGTCTACCTCCAGCAGGACAAAAATAAGTAAAATGAGGGACAGGCAAGCAAATCTGCCAAGACCCCCACGCCTTTGAGAATCAGATAACTCTTTCTGTCCCTATAAGCCCATCCACCCCAGCAAGCTCCAGATAAAAAGAGAAACTGAGGCTTGGGCATCCCACAGTGATTTGCTACTGCTAGCTCTATAGGAGTCTTGGGCCCTTTCTGTTTCTAGCCCATTCTGCTTCTCTTGACGTATTTGTCTCTCAGGGAAGACGATGCTGAGAAACAGACTCTCAAGAGATAGGGCCTGAGAGGTGAGCCATAGGCTTAGGTGAGGCCTTACCCATTTCTTAGTCTCCTGGCCCTCTGAGAAGTTCTCAAGGGGCTAGAAATAGTGGTTTATGGACAGGACCTTGGGAATAGGAGCAGAAGCAGGTCCAGGCTATGGCTTGGGTAAGAAGCTAGAGAGTTGGTTCACCTGGGCTGAAGCGGGGGTGTCGGATGCCCACCAGCCTGTATCTCAGGCCTGAGCCCAGTGGGGAAGGGGTTAACCGGCTCACTCATTTTTCCATGGGTTTCCTTGTGCTATTGGGGCTGTGTTGGGCCATGAGCGCCATCTATCGGCCTCCGGAGCTCCTAGCTCTGACTCCCGGCTCACTGCTAAGCTGCTCGTTCAGCCCTTTCCCTGCTTCCACGCTTTTGCAGCAGGAAAGACCATGTAGCCACAGGGCCTCCAGCTGCAGAAAACAAAGACGGTATTGGAGAAAGTAAAGCTATATTTTCTCCTCCTAGGTTCCAAGTGTCACCTGGTCAGGTCCCTGGAGAACCCTAAGGAATAGGCTGTAGACCCAATTCTGCCACACTAGACCCTCTCAGTCCACCCAAAAAATGGTAAAACAGTGAGAGCTGGGGGCGGTGGCACACACCTGTAATCCCCACATTCTTGGAGGCTAAGCCAGAAGGATTGCGAGTTCCAGGCCAGCAACTGAGTGAAACTCTGTCTTAAATTTTTTTTTAAGTGTGCGTGTGTGTGTGTGTGTGTGTGTGTGTGTGTGTAATGTAACTCAGTACAAAGGATCTGGCTTCAATCCCTAGTACTGGAAGAGAGAGACTGAGGACGAATGAATATAAATTGGAGGAGAAAGTGTAAACTGTAGAAATGAGGCTGCCTGGATTTGCATTTCAGCTCTATCACTTACTAGTGGTGGCCTTAGGCAAATCACTTAATCTTTGTGTGCCTCAGTGATTTGAGCTGTAAAGTGAGAAAAACTTTGCAGTCTATGTCTTCTATGATAATGACCTAAGTATGTGAGGTGTTTGACACAATGCCCAGCTGGGAATCCACACTCCATGAAGGTCAGTTATTGCTGTGATGACCACAGCGAGGGTCTCAGGCAGATGCTGGGCTGAACACTCAGCCTATAGAGCCATATCTGACACACAGACGCAGAGGACAAGTCTGAGCGACTTATGCCTTGAGAGTTCAACAAAGACAGACTGGCGTGGGTTAGGGTGAGAGTAGAAGTTTAGGGTTGCAAGGAAAATACCTTTTCTAGGCCAGGGAAATAGTTCAACTGCATAAGCAGTCCTGAGTTTGATCCCCAGTACCACAAAAAAAAAAAAAAAAAAAACCTTTCATGTGCCCAAGGGCAGCAGGAGACAGGACAAAGAAGGTGCAGTTCAGTGGCATAGCAATTTTTTTTTCTTTTCCCACTATGTGCTTCAGGCTGGCCTCGCCCTTACTCTGTGGCCATAGCTGACCTTGAATTCACAGTGATCCTCCTGCCTCAGCCTCCTAAGTACTGGGATTATAGGCATGTACCACCATGCCCAGCTTAGTGTGTGTTCTTTCTGTTGTTTTGTTTTTGCAGTACTGGTGATTAGAACCTCTACACTAAACTACCATCCTGGACTTTTGTCTTTTTTATTTTGAGATAGAGCCTTGCTGGGTTGCCAAGGCTGAACTCAGACTTGTGCTCAGAGTGCTAGGATTGCCACTGCACCTGGCTCAGAGTGCGAATACACAGAGCTCTCGGTTCAGTCCAAAGCGCTACGTATACACACGCGCGCGCGCACAGGCGGAAGAAAGGCATTACGGGAGAGTTTCACTAACAGGCCCTTAGAAGAGCCCTGCTATGGAGAAGGGAAGAAGGGTCCTCCCTGTATGAGGCAAGCCAGGGCACTATGTCCCAAGAGCATGTCCCGAGCACGGGCTCCACAGCCTCAAGGTTTGGTCAGACTCTGAAAGCCTGCAGACACATAGATGACAGCCTGTCTCAGTGCATGGAACATAGCCCTCCGTGTCCCCCACCAATCCCCGTGTGGGGGGAGCTGTCTGCAGACTGTGCAGGTCTTGCCCACCTCCTCCCAGAACTGGAAAACCCAAGGAGCTAGGCTACAAATTCACCCATTGTCTGCCTACACTGTTCATCGAGCTCCCTGTCTGTATCTTCCAGATGCCTGCCTTCTTCTACCTGACAGAGAAATGGGTACGTGAGATCCTTCTCCATGGCATGAGAAGACCGGAACGCAGACCCAGTGGGATCTCTGGCTCAACCTCTTCCCCCAACCCCTACCTCAGCCCCAGTGCAGCACAGCCCAACTTCATGGACTGATGCCCACTTTACTGGAAT